TGCCATTCGGATCGAACCGAACCTCGTAGATGTCGAGAACTCGGACGACGACGAAAACGACGACGAAAACGACGACGAACCCATTAACCAAAACCTTCTCTACTTCTCAGATGAAGATATTGATCGAAACTCATGATCTCGTCACGATCAGAGGGAGATGACGACTCTTTCCCTAGTAGTCAAGGAAAGAAGCCGATAGTTCACGCAGTCTGTGAATTCTCCGCTGATTGGTAGTACCTCTCCTCATAGCTGCATCCTAATCCTCTTCTAGAAATTGACCTCTTGTGACAAGTGCATCTCGAGTCATCTAACATCTTGTACAGACCTAATTCAAAATACCAGCAATAGACAGGAGTGGATGCGCATTCATTCTTCCAATGGAAATGAAAATGACAGGAGTGCTCAAACTGTGACTTCAGCATTACGGGGAAAATCTGGAATCACTTCCTAGTTTCGATGCCCCGGGAGAGTCCGGGAACGGGCACTCTCCTCCAGACGGGCACTCTCCCTCAGGAGGGCACCCGTTCGGAATGTTGAAAAAAATACACGCAGGCCATTGACTGAGTCTCTAACTCAGTCGGATAATGGGCGTAGAACTACGCTCTTCTGAATTTTCACCTGAATTCTTAGACATGTTTATATCAAAATATATCAGGCTCTCCCAAATAAGAGTTTCTGACTGCTCTGCTCTCTCCTATCTCCCAGAGATGGAGTAGAGTTTCCAATTCATCGACATCAGCCCTACTGCACTAGGCTCTCACTTCGATTTTATAATTGGAATGCATCGTTCAAGGGTTTCTGGGAAGGCAATTGGTACGCTTGAGGAAGTGACATTAAGTGGCATCTTCGGGCGAGAAAATTATCATACGATGAGGTCCGTTGTCTCCTATTTCAACTCACAGTGAGAATCGTTTTCACCATGAAATGATGAGATAACTTCGTATGAATAAAATGCGCCACTTTGACTCATCGCGGATATCCTCGAATTTTCCCTTTTGATCATAATGGAAATCATGATCTCGTGTGCGATCATTGGTATACTCATCAGAGAATAGGTTTTTTTCGCTCAAATGTTTCTGCGGAAGCGAATTGTGTCTTTTAAGGCACGATTGAATCCCGAAAAGTGAGATCGCCTTCTTTTTCGTAAGTAGTTGACGGAATCGAGCCGCTATCGTCTAGACGGTCGAAGTTGCCGAAGCTAGACATTTCTTGCCATCATGATATTTGTGCTAGGATGCGTAGTTCTCGAGTATTTTGAACTCGAGCCTATATTATGGCCTATTTCAACCCGAAGAGAGGATTCTCGAGTTCGGCATAACCTTCTGACGATGCCTCACAAGCACTCCCGCATATTTGCCCATAACAGTTTCCCTCATAAAATGCTTTGTTTTCGAGAATATCGACGATGGAGTTTGTGACCATTTTTCACGATTCGCACCCCATCTTGTCCACCTACCGGGGGCTATAGCGTTGTTCTACGCTAATAGAGGGGCACTCTCTAATATTCGGGCCGTCTCTAATATAGGGGCAGGTTCCGGAAGCTCGGAAGATATAGGGGCATGCCCCACTATTAGAGAGAATACGGTATGTATAAAAC